CAAACATCATAAAAATATGTATCCGTCTTACACATCATCAATTAAATGCATTTGACTGTGAGAACATTAAATAATATGATCCTTTACAATGATCTAGATCAAACAAACATCATAAAAATCGAGGGCCCTGCTCAATGATCTTACATGCTAGAGGGAGTTGGGTAAAGTGACACAAAAGGTAAGGATAGTATTAGACCAATGACAGTTGCAAGAGAGAAATCAGTCGGGAGCTATGAACAGTTTAATTTATACGCTTTTATGAAGAAATGGGTTTTTAATGATTTTTTTGAAGGAGTGGAGACTCGGTGAGCATCTAACGGAGGAGGGAAGCGAGTTCCACAAGAACGGTGCAGCCCTCGAGAAGTCTTGAAGGCGAGCATCAGAGGTGGGAGTACGGACAGAAGATAGACGTAAGTCTTCAGCAGATCGTAAGGGCCTAGACGGGACATACTTGTGTATAAGGGAGGATAGATAGGTGGAAGAAGCATTATGTAGAGATTTTAAAGCAAGAACCAGAATTTTAAATTGAGTCCTATATCTTACAGTAAACCAATGTAGGGACTGACAGAAGGGTAATGTGTGGGAGGTGCGGGCTGACAGGAAGTTGAGCCTCGCAGCCGCATTCATTATGGACTGTATCAGCGCAAGTTGGGAGCACGTAAGACCACTGAGAAGCGGATTACAGTAGTCAAGGTGAGAAAGGACAGTGGAATGGACCAGCACCGTAGTTGCATCTGGTGTTAAGTAGGGTCGGAAGTGCGCAATGTTTTTGAGATGGAAACGACAGGATTTGGCAATAGACTGAACATTCGGCGTGAAGTAGAGGTCGGAGTCAATGAGAACACCTATGCAGCGAGTCTGCGTGGTGGAGCGGATGGTAGCACCGTTGACTTGAAGGGAGAGAGACACAGGAGTAGCAACACTTGAGGGAGGAAAGACCAGAATTTCAGTTTTGGTCAAGTTGATTTTAAGGAACTGGGCAAGCATCAAGTTAGAAATAGCAGAGAGGCATTCAGAAACACTAGTCAAGAGGGATGGGGAGAGATCAAGAGAGGACAGATAGATTTGCGTGCCATCCGCGTAAAAATAAAAATGATATTGGAAGCCAAAGGAGCCAATAAGATTACCAAGGGAGGCAGTATAGATGGACTGAACCTTGGGGGGAAACCAACAGAGAGGAGTTGGGGAGAAGAAGCAGAGAAAGAAACACTGAGAGAGCGCTGGGTGA